TTGGATCACAATCTTGGATTATAACTCTTCGTAGGTTCCACACATCACTATTGATAAACCCACATTTTATTTTGAGTCGTTACTAACCCATAAAGATATTATTTCCACAATTTGAAATTTGTCACATGTTTGAAAAGTGTGTTCGGATCTCAATCCGGAATCTTCTGCGAATTGTCGTATTCATTTGGTTCTTTTTTATCGCTATTATCTTTTTTCTTTGGTTCTTCTCCGATGAAATTTATCTAACATAATATTCACTGGTATAAATAGAAACGATGTAAAACCACGTTGACATCGTCTTCTGATACATAGTCGCGTTTGGCATTTTCACAGCCAATGAAAGGCCGTAGTAGTATATCAGACTAAGTCTCTTGAGGAAAAAAGAGAGGGCTTGAATTGGCCAAGTTTTAAATAAAAAAAAGGACGAAAATTACAAATATAATCACAATCATTTCGAGTTTTGAATAATTGATGTCTGGGCGCCAAGATGTTTGAGCATAGACTGTGTATTTTAGAAACAAGAGAATTAAGAATTAAAAGAATTAAGGCTGAGAAAATGAAGTGATGAAAAACCTAGCCTTGTTATAATTAGAAGTGATATATGTCCGTTTTAATGATAAACTTTCCTGTGAATTTATCGCCTCTAATGCGGAGTCTTTTACAAATTATTTGATGAAAATTAAGGAAAATAAATTTTCTAAACAAGCAGTTTTTAGCACCAAACTTTGCTATGTTAGATGGTAATTCAAAACAAATTTCATCCACCCAAGTGTTTTGCAGATGTTTCGGCCACAAGGTTTGAGTTTCTCAATCTCTTTTTATAAGCAATAACAATAAGTTTGGATTCCTTTTATGATATATATATCTTATAAGACGTTTTTGTGTGTGGTATCAAGACAAGACAACTTTATTTTACCAGGGTAGCCCAGTCAGCTGCAAGGCTGGTATCCTTAGGGGCCCTGGGTTCAATAAAAATTACATATAAACATTTACAATAAGATTACAAGGTTAGGTAAAATTTGCTAAAATTTACAAAAAGGGGAGAAAAGAAAAAAAAAGAAAAAAAAAATCAGATAAAATGTCCTTTAAGAAGGCGTTTAAAAATTGTTAGAGAACTTGCCTCTTTGATTCTGCTTGGCAGTGAGTTAAAAGCTAAACGCCCTGAATTTTTAAAAGTTCGCCCCCCAAGAACAAGATTTGTTTTATTTGGGTGAATATTTCTCCTCTGCCTAGTGTTGTAATTGTGTACATCATTGTTTACCTTAAAATAGTTTTTTAAGTATATAGGAACGAAATTCCGTAAACATTTATATACTAAAATACATTTGTGTATTTTTCGCAGTGTTTCTAAATCTGGCCAATTTACAATATTTCGGGCTGTCCTTGTACTTTTCTGACAGGTGACGATTTTCGCGGCTCGATTTTGTAATCGTTGCAGACTAGTGATGCTGCTCTCGGGTAGTTCACCCCAGGCTGTGTCTGCGTAACTAAAAATTGGTTCAATAATGCATTTGTATACCGCTTGTGCTGCTTGTAAAGTAAGAGTGGAGCGTATTCGTCTGAGGAGACCGAGTCGCTTGGATACTTTCTTGTGAACATCTTCAGCGTGTACTTTCCATTTGGCACACCGGCATTTTTCTTATTTGGCATGATTTCTTTCAGGATTTCCCACATTGTTTTTGGGTCTTGGGTTTCTGTTAAGCGAGAAGAATAATGATCCGATTTTGCTTTCTTCATTTTCTTGCTAATGGTGTTTCGTAAGCGCTTGTATTTGCTCCAGTGCAGTTCTTGATTTATTTTGATCGCTTTTTTATGATGGTAATCCCTTTCTGTCATTAATTCTTTTATACTTGATGTTAGCCATGGAACTGAAAACCCGCGAACTCTTCGCGTGGCAACAGGCGCATGTTTGTCAGCAACTGTCAAAAAAAGATCTTTGAAAACAATCCAAGCTTCATTTGACGTTGATTCCATTTCGAGAATATCCCATGGGATCTTATTCAAATCATCGCTAAAGAATGCAGGATCATAATTTTTATAATTTCTGCTCTGAATAATTTTAGGCGGAGGGCGCTTGATGTTGTGGAGTTTTCTGACTCCGAAAATAGCACAGTGATCAGAGAAGCCGATTGGAATAACACCGCAGGTGTACAGTTCTGGTCTTGATGTTAGAAATAGGTCAATTAAAGTTCTAGTCTCCTCAGTGATTCGAGTGGGCTCGGTGATTGTTTGTTTCAGATGAAAAGATTTTGTTGTTTGCTGAAAATGCTTTGTCGCAGAAGTCGGGTTCAAATAATTCAGGTTGAAGTCTCCAATAAGAACAATTTCACCATCATTTGTCAGAACGTTGTTTAGAATTTCTTCGACCCGGCTAGTAAAAGCCGCTGGGTCAGCATCTGGTGTTTTGTAGATTGCTCCGCATAAAATCTTCTTCGATTTTGGCTGGCATACTTCAAACCAAATTGATTCAAAGTTGTCGTTCTGTGTTTGGATTTCACTTTCGTCAAGCTGACTGTAATTTAGTTGCTCTGCTATGTATACCGCAACGCCACCACCATTTTCGTCTCTGTCTTTTCGCATAACATTGTAGCCAGGAAGAGTTATTTCCGCGTCGGTGAACGAGTCATCAAGCCAAGTCTCGTTTATTGTCACGATGTGCGGTTTGTGCTCGTCGCAGAAAAGTCTGAGTTCGTCCATTTTATTGCGTAGGCTGCAAATGTTGAGATGAAATAAGCGAAGACCTTTCATCAAGGATGGCGAGTATCGGTTAGTGTTTTTATAAGGTGTGCCGTAATGCTCAGCGATGCTACACACCAAAACGTGTAATAAGTTATTTATTATCCAACTGCTATTTTTCCTTTCTGCTAATTCTTTCTGCTCGTTTCTCACAATGCGGTAAAATCAAAGCGAATAGACAAGCGTAGCGCGCGCAGCCAACATGTCTTTTCAACAATACAGAAATTAATGACCAACTGTCCAAATAAGCGTACAATATCGCAAGATATTTGTACTCTATTTGCGCGTTATTTGCACTCTTCTTTGTGCAGTTTGATAATAAGCACAGATATTGAACGTCAGAAAGCACCTCAGCTATATAAACTGTCACACAAAATTGTTGAATTGTCGAATGTAAAATTCACAATTTTTGTTTAAAATTCAAATTAAGTGAAAATTTCACTATTTGCAAGGGAAGATCGCCTCGTCGTGAATGCAGTAAAATTACCACAGACCATCACTTCTGTGCTTAATCGCTATCCAGCAGACAAGTGTTAACAAAATGTATTGCACTATCCACCGGATAGCTATATCTAGTGAATAGTGTTATCGAACTGGGTCAACTGAGCAAATGATGAACTTAACACAGATCTACACATGAGTCTACACATTTCATGTCTTTCCATTGTCTTATCGAAAGTTTCTAGAAAGTTAAAAAAAAACCTGACTTTGTGCCTTGCCAGCTGGTTGTCAGTAACTTTACTTAAGATCATACGACATAATGAGAACAAGAATTCAGTAATTTTACAAAGAATCATAGGATATGGCCAGAACGATAGGTGGCCGCTGGTATTTCATTGATGCTCACATCCTCTAAAACGAGATCACTCACCCTTAGTACTTTCACTGAACTATTACAATTACTTATCTCCATTCTTTAAAAACACGTTTGCATTATTAATCCCCTGGATATTGTTCGTCGCCCTTCGAACAACCGAGACCTGATTTATTGTTCGCATAACCATTACTATTTAAAAAATACTAGCTTTGAAGCTGTAATTTTGATTAACATTCAATATTTACAAAGAGTACTTGCATTCGATATTTACATTTGAGATTCAAACTCTTCATACAACATTCAAATTCGAGATTTACAATCAGGATTGTATGTGCAGAATTTTTATCGGAGACTTGCATTGGGAATCTTACGTTGACTTAAATTCGCGAGTGTTGTGAAGCGTTAAAGAAGAGTCAAAGCAAGTCTTGTAAAATTCCCTCAGTTTTTTCCAATTCCAGTTGATGTATATCCCTGGTATATGCATATGGAAATTAGCGATGGATCTCTGCCCCTTAATAACCTAGGGGAGTATTGTGAGTTTAATGAGTTTCTCCACATTGCTCGTTCAGTCAAGCATTACAAAGTAAATCGCCCTAATGGAGTGATAACTTTACCTCCCAACTGAAATCTTGTCGCATCATTTATCATATCAGTTGTCTAGAAGCAGAATCCTATTGTAATAATTTTCATAACAGACTCTTCTGCTTGAAGTTGCTCTCCCTGTTACAATTTATCTGAGTTTAGCACAGACGGGTTATGTAATTATTTAGGAATTTGGAAACACTAGTAATCACTCTAAGAAAAATAGCAGCATTCTAGGCATTAAAAAAGGTGTCGTGGGGACATGAAAGGGGCTTAAGACAACTGCATGAACTGCAGGGACCGCATGGATTTGAGTGCTCTATTTTCTCTACAACATTAGTTCCTACTATACGTTGTGTTAATTATTTGAGACGTTCCTGACGTGGAAAATTATGATTTTATTAAGTCGTACTTATTAATAGATCGAAAACATGCAAAACCTCTTGCAAACATTGCAAATCATTAGCGAATTTCTCTAGACGCGTTCGGTGCCCTTTATTCTGTTCATATCTCCCTTCCTTTAACTTGCTCTGCTTTAAAAAATGGATTCCATGTTGCCGTGCATCTTTTCAATAACAAATCATAGCATGCACTACACGAGGTGCGACTGAGTGAATCACTGATGTTTCATTAAATCTACTATTGAACAGACCCACGGCGACATTGAATCTATTTTTTCTATGTAATAAAAAAGCAAAATGGTCAGTGGAGACGCTATCTATTCGCCTGTCCTCCAATAGATCAAAAGTAAGAAGTAATCAAATATATTTGGTAAGCTTCTTCAAGAATAGTGTGACTAGCAAAATAGTCACCATCTACTTAATATTATGTTTGACTGACCCACTTACTAGGAACCAACACTTTCATGCAACGAGACAAAGAGGCAGTATACAGTCTGTTTTCTATGAACAAGTTCCATTATTTGAATGTGCCCAGAGTTGGAATATTTTTGGTGTACAACTATTTTGAATGTGCCTTTAAATGCCTTCAACATCCTTCATGTTTCTCTGTGAACCTTGCTACTAAAGGGAAACTATGGTGCGAGTTACTGTCATCTGATAAGTACAGCGACCCCAAGGAATTCAGACAAGACAAAAGTTGGCATTACTTTTACATTGTGGTAAGAATTGGTTTCCCTCTCGTTTGATATCAGCCGGCATTTTAATGGAGAAATGCCATGTATAAAGCAAAATAGTTCCGAAGAAGTGAAATGATAGCTTCTCTGATGTGTAATTACATGATCATTTCTTCCAGACATTTCCTTGCTTCTAGATAGAACTGTTGTCCAAGTATAATTTTTTTTTCGGTTTTTTTCCTCTTATTCATAATCCGTTTGCAATTTTAATTGGTCATTTATTTAACTATTTATCTAATGCTCAGTTAATGATTTATTCACTTATTTTTCTTATTTACCCTCGTCAACTGTGGCTTACCTGTTCAGAAATAGGGCTTTTTGAAACTAATACTCATTGCATTACTGTGTCATAAAAAAATATCGCAAGAACAATATAGGTGTTCCCTTAATTATACGTACTTCGCACAGTGTATGGAGCTCACTGTGTTATACTTTCGATGATTCTTTAATTTTTTATCTTTGTTTCGCGAGAACACTTCAACTGAAAATCATTGCAAGAACAAAGACCCCTATCAAAATGATGGTACCCACACAGCTAACTGTTCTCTGTATCCTGCTGCATTTGTGGGTTTGAGGAACTCAACAGGTAATCGTTAAACCTTTTTGTCGATTTCTTGAGACCTTCGATTCAGCAGAAAAAAACAAAGGTCTTATGGACAAGGGCTCCTTTAAAGGTGTTTCTGTGTCACTTACACTATCACTCTGACCAAGTAAAAATAAACAAAAAAATTAACTTATTGAAATAGATATTGAAAGGTAAACTTGTCGATATAATGCGGGCTGCAGGCTGACTCACGAATTCATCTCTTTCAATGCTCTTTGTTGCTGTTGTTTTTGCTTTAATTCGTTTCGTTGCTTATTCTGTTCTTATTTGTTTGTTTGTTTGTTTTTTATTTTTGTTCGGTTTTTTGCCTGTTTTGCGTTTTCAGACATTGATGAGTGTGTCGAAGGTTCACACAACTGCAGTCCTAATGCCTTTTGCAACAAAACCAAGGAGTCGCACAACTGTAAATGTAAACCTGGATATATTGGGAATGGGCGAGAGTGCAAAGGTAATCGTAACTACGCGCACAATTAAGAAGAGAGAGTCTTCTACGGAGGTAATGTCACCTCCTAATTTTGGGCTGTTTAACTCAAAAAAAAATAAGAGGCAATCAAATTAATTCGAACTACTTTGAGATAAAAGTAAATAGCAAACTGCAAGCAAACTGTTCTCGGATGACAGCACCACTACTTTAGGGGATTGAAAATAAACGAATAAATGAAAGCGGATAACAAATTTCGCGAAAATAAATCAATTAAAAAAGCTGAATACATGAAGAATATTATGAATAACAAGGCGACTCCTTTACCTAACTTTTATGGAAGGGCTTGAAGTATACAGCCATGTATAAAGTAAAAAATAAATCGTTCCAGGCTGGAAACCGAAGACTGAAACTGCGATATTACGAAGAAAATGTGTAAACAAAAGATTAAGATTTTACAGAAAGGAACCCAACTGTTCCTCCTCTAAATCGAATGTATCTTTCAACTATTTTTAGGGGTTACATCGTGTAACGAGATCCATGAAAATGGCATGTAAGTAAAAACGGTTGATCAGATTTAGTCATCACCTTACTTCAAATATTTCACTCTTTTGCGTTTGGTTGTAACCCATTAAGTTATGGAATAGGCTCAAATGTTTAGTACTCGCTTCCACTGAAATGAAATTCTTCCTTTTGAAGTTGGTTTAAGCCGAGAGGTAGATTTCCTTTTTGTAACGTAAGCAGATACAAAACTTCTTCACCCTTCAAAAGCTTTTTGCTTCGTGGAGAAGGTACCCGAGCATATTCTGGTGTCAAGCGGAGGTCGATTTATGCAACACTTCCTAATTATTGATGACGTATTTGGTTAAATAATACACGTTCACCTATCGACCACACACTACAAAATAATAGATCTGTCTACTTGTTCATGTGTTTTCATTACCATTTTTTATCCATTTATTTATCCATTCATCGTAAATAACTATATACCATTACCATTGTCATCTCGATCATAGTCAGAATCACATTGTGTGTCACTATGATCATGAAGTCATCATCATGATTATTATTTTATCATTTTTTTAATCGTAATGATAATAATTGATTATTGTTTCTAACAAAATTATATCTATGACTGTCATATCTGTTATTGTTTCTCATAAAATAGCGCCGATATTAGTAGTGTGGTTACCGTTCTTGTTGACTCTAAACCAGTCTCTGTTCTCTGTCACATGGGTGATTTTGGATGTGGAGATGGTGGATGGACGCCGGTTCTGAAGATTGACGGCCGTAAGGTGCATATTCAAAAACTTGATTTCTTAAAATATTTATATATTTGGTACCCCTAAAGTGGTCAAGATAGTTTCGAACATGATCGAAATGTGAAATCTCTATACCAGCGAAAAATAAAATAGCTCGGGATTGATTGTTCGATTGTTGGAATATTTCCAATATTAGAGAGTGCCTAGCTTCTGTGCACGTAAAGACGTTCAATCTGATCAATTTTATGTTTAACATAATTTTTTTTGCGTGAAAAAAAAAAAGAAACACAGTTTCCCTATGTAATATTCTCATACACCGTCAAAGCAGATTGGAAATTATCAATTTATCTAAGAAATTCTGATCTCACAAAACTTTTATGATCCATTTGATACTGTGTAGCAAGCTGAAATAAAAATGCCACTGATAACGACACTTTACTCCTTAACAGAAAAAAAATCGATAGCATCTTGCGCAATCGACATGCTAAGCATGTTGCGTAGCGACAAGCTGTCTTTTTGACGTGCGAACTAGATGTAAATTGCTTGATGTATCAAACGTTCTTGGAGAAATAAACAGATGACTTGTTTTTTACCACAGGCAACCTTTCGTTATAGTTCCCCTTACTGGAGTGATTATGAGGAATTTAACCAAGTAGGAGGCAAGACTGGTTTTGACGAGCAGGAATCAAAGCTACCTACCTACTGGAACACGTCTTTCACCAAGATCTGTCTCGGTATGAAGATCGAACAACAGCTCAGGTTCACTGTCATCAACAAAGAGGGTGACTCTCTGCACTCTCTGATTGCTGACGGAGAATTCCGTGCCATTCCTTTGGGTCGTCAAACATGGAAGTCACTGATTGGTTCAAGGGCCTCTTTGCAACTCAACTGCAACAAGGAAGGGTTTAATGCAGGTGGTGGCACTGCCAGATATTCCAAAGCAAGGATTGGTATTGTTGGCAACTTTGAAAACGAATGCAACTCATGTAACTCAAGGATTGGATTTGGTTCGGAAGGTAGACCTGATGACTCGAACACTTGCGGAAACGAGGCGAACCCGAGGGGTCCAGATAATGGAGAGAAGCATATCAAAGCCATGGGATATATCTTTGTGCAGTGAAAGAAAAAAAAAACGATTTAAAAGATAACAATAAGTTTAACCCATGCAATTTTTGAGGAATACGTGGTACGTATCACGACACATTCCAAACTGAGATCCAAGATGCATGAAAGGACATCTATTTTTAATGATCCGGGTATCATTAGCCTTTATTGTATCGCTGTCGCATCATGTTTTCTTGTTAGGTTTGCCCTCTATATTGTTACAGTGAGTGATTAAAAGGATTTTGAGAGTATAATGATATAAAATAAAAGAAAGAAACGAAGAGCAAGCCAGCGAAAGACGAGAAACTTAACAGAAGCGAACGCGGATACTAGCAACCAAAATTGAACTAACAATTTGTATCGAGATAAATATCATTAGACATATCAAACTCTCTCCCCAGTACGACGAACATTTGTTTTTCTCTGTTCCAGTAATACGCAACCACTAACCCCACGTAATGCGCATGCTCTCCTTTACGAATTTTCAAAATGGCGGACAGGCCAAAGAGGGAAATAGAAAAAACAAAGCGATTTTGCAATGAATACTCAACATACACCCCCGTTAGAAAGGCGAATCCACGGAAGAAAGATACAAAACTGTATGATATTGAGATCGATATGATATTAAATAGATACCGAGGGCCCGTTTCCAACTTGCTAAGAGGTGCATTTAATTGCCTTCCACCACGATTACTAGCTTTCTTGACAGCTTTTTGAAGACAGAATATTTTCATTCTGAAGCATATCAAACTCATGGGGTACAAATAGTCTTAACATGAATATAGCGACCACGCCCAGTTCAACGCCCCACTCAAATCGAGTGTAATTTTCGAATATTTTACCATCGTGCGAATTCTCTACGGAAAAAGCACTCAATGTACCTCTGAAATTTTAAACTATAATATTTTGGCTTTCTATTTCGCTAATTTTCTAACTTGAAGGTAAAGTTTTTCCCCCGTCATTTTTACCTTTTCTCCGAGCGGTTGCGTGAAATTAACAAGGCGTTTTTGATCAAAACACAACCAAGCGAAGGGTCTCAAACGATATCTCTTTTACGCAGGCGCAAATTAAAAATGTACCGCCAGAATCAAAAAGAGTAACAAATTTCCTTTGTTTTGATATGTAAAGTGTCGAACAAAAAGCAGATTTACCCTTGTCAAATGGCGTTTCAAAACAGCTGTATCTTCCTCCTTTTGATTTTTTCCTGTTTTGTAAGCGTGAAAGCAGTAGGAGAGGGATCTGGAAAATCAGAGAGCGCTTCGGGAATTAATCTGCCATCGTTTACTTACGAGATAAACAAGTAAGATTTGTGAAGTTTGTCGCAGTATGAAGTCTAAATAAATGCCTTTTCTAAGCTTGTTGGCTGTATTTTTCGTAAACTTCCCCGATTAATTTTTCGTTTCAGCTTACTAATCTATACTATTTCAAAGCAATGTAAAGACAAAGACGGAGAAAACCATGAGTCGGTCCTTTCAACAATCGTAAACAAAGTGTTTGAACAATCAGGTATACGAGGTGTAATAATCAATAGCCGCATTTCAGAAGTCTTCAGAAAGAAAATATTCAGCCTTCAGAAAGCTGTCAAGAAAGCTAGTAATCGTGGCGGAAGGCAATTAAATGCACTTCTTAGCAATTTGGAAGCGGGCCCTCGGTATCGATTTAAGGTTTATTACAACGAGGTTGATGTGCATCAGCTTAAAGATGAGAACAGCCAGTTAAGGGGAGAAAAAAGAAAATTAGAAGAATCGTTGGTACAGGAGAAGGCAAAGCGATTGCGAGTGGATGAAAAAGCCCGAGAAGCTCTCGAGAAAGCTGAGAAGAAAGGGGCCTTCTACAAGAAAAAATTTATTCAATTGGCCAAAAAAGTGATTAAAAATGGGAAAAAAGGTAGAGGCCCTGCTAAGAAGAAGTTTAATGACTATTCTAAGCACCATCAAAAGAGAATTAAAAACCAACTGAAGGACGAGTGCCAAACTACACTCTCTTTTCTTGGGCTGTACAATTTTGTTGCAACCAAAATTGAAGTCCTTAACACTGAGACTAATCAATATGAAACTTTCAATCTTGTTGGAGAGGGAGAGCTACCATTTACAGAGTCTGACCCAAAGGCCCTTGATAATGATGACATTGATAACATAAATATGTGGCTCTACCTCAAAGACAAATTCAATATTTCAAATGAGGCCTGGCATGAAATTGCCATTAAGGCTAATGGTCTCCCCAATACATATTCCATCAAGAAGCGAATTAATGAGCTAAACAGTAAATGGAACTTGAAACCAACACCAGGAGATGCTGAAGGTGTTCAGTTAGGATTTGCAGAAAGTTTGCAAGAGCACATTGTTAGGCTTCAGAAGAATGGAGAAATCAATGATGGAGAAGCTATTAAGATCAAGCTTGGCGGTGATGGTACAAATATTGGAAAGCGGCTTACAGTTGTCAACTTCACATTTACTATTCTCAATGAAAAGGATGTGGCAATGGCTGAGAAGGGAAATTATGTACTTGCTGTTATAAAAACTACAGAGACATATCATAATCTGAGAGACAGCCTAGCAGACCTTCAAATGGAAATGTCAAACTTAAAGGAGATAAGTGCAAATAATTGCACCTATAAAATTGAATACTTTTTTAGGTGGAGATTTGAAATTTTTAGCACTGGTATGTGGTTTAGGCAGGGCAAATGAGGATTATGCTTGTGTGTGGTGCAAGTGTCCCAGGGAGCAACGGTGGGACACAAGCAAAACATGGTCAATTAATGACCCCAAATTTGGTGCTAGAACTGTTGCCGAAATAGCAAGGTTTTCCACTGAAAAGAAATTCAACTGTAAGGCACAACCATTATTTGATTTTATACCTATGGACCATGTCATCATAGATACATTACATCTTTTTCTGAGGATTTCAGATGTTTTGATTGACTTGTTCATAAGAGAGCTGAGAAGAAGTGATGCTATTGAGGGAAAAAAACCTTCTCTGATGGATTCCCGAGAGATAAATATAAACACATGGCCTGTTACGAAGAATATATCACAAGTATGGGAATCACTTTTAATTTTAGAATCAACAAAGAGAGCAAAAAGCTGGAATATAGAGATCTTACTGGACCAGAAAAGTTGAAACTCTTTCAGAATATAAACATTCCTATGCTTCTCCCTCATTGCAGTCACAACAAATACATACAAGTGATCTGGGCTAAATTTATGGACATAATTGGTGATTTGAAGCTAGATTAGAGGGTATTCTTGAACTGCAAAGAAATATCAAATCATGGTTTGAGCACTTTCTCAAAGTTTACCAAGCAAAAGATGTCACTCCCTACATGCATGCACTATGTTGTCATGTTCCTGAGTTCCTGTCACTTTATCAGAACATAGCATTTTACACACAGCAAGGCTTGGAAAAATACAATGATAGAGCTTCTAAAGATTTCTTCAGATCCACAAATCACAAAGGGGTTGATGCCCTCAAACAACTGTTTCTGAAGAAAAACAGGATTCAGTTCCTGGAGGCAGCAGGCTATGAAAGGGTTAAGAACACCTACAAATGCAATAACTGTTCAAACAAAGGTCACAACATCAAGACATGCACATCTTCATGCAAAAATTGTCCAGCTCCAATTTGCTGTGCACATCTTGTGAAGGAAGGTGGCAAATGGATTCCCAGATGCCAGCTTCAATATTAACCAGAGTTAGTTTAGTTTTAGTAAGTTTCGTTAGTTTTATGTAATAAAATATGTCATTTGGTTTTTGAGGAAGGATTTCCTGACCTGATCTTGCCTTAGTTTGATCATAATGTTACTCAGGATCAAAACATTTAATACTTCTAGTACCCTTAAATATCACCTTTAATTTCTTTGCCAAAATAGGTCATTTTACAGTTTATTCAGTAACCTGGCCCGTGAATTAACTAGCCTGTATTAACACAAGAAAAGCAAAGGGGTTTGTATCAAAACAAGGTCACCAGCAACCTCGCTTCCAGCCATAAGCCAGGTGACTCAGCCACAACTGTAAAATAATATTGGAACTTTTGATTGTGAATCTCAAGTTTTTGGCCAAGATGCTATACAGTGTTTTAACAATGGATTGTTATTTCATCTGTTGGCATGGTAGTTGTTCCTGTTACCATCACCTCTCTTAAACTGAAATGTAATAAAGTTGCTGTTTTCAACTTCTGTTCTAGCATATTGTTCCCCGATGAGCTTGTATTCAATGATTGGACTTCTTTGTCCCAGCCAATACTTAATAGTTCCTGGAATTACATAGGCAAAATCTCCAGCTAGATTTAAAATTCGTTCATTCCACTTCAGCTCCAGATATGAATCAAGCACCCTATTTATCTCCAATTGGTAAACCATCTTCCCTCTTTTAAGAACGCCGGGCAAAACACTCCCAAGACCTTCCATGAAAACATCTTGGTCAACATTAAGGTCTTTGTTTATATCAGGGTCCTCTCGGCGTCCAGACCAAAGCTTTTTCTTTATTTCACGAGCAAGTTGGCCATGGAACGATTCTTTTCTATCCTCTAGAGAGCTTTCCGATGGAATGAACAGCTTTTCGCTGCGAACAAACGGAAAATATCCTGATCCTTCATCGGCCCCGAAGGGTCTCCATTCATCGAAGCATGTGCTATAGCCAACGTAATGAATTTTCAACCTCTTATTGATTTTGTCAACCTCCCTGATCTCAATATCATACAGTTTTGTATCTTTCTTTCGTGGATTCGCCTTTCTAACGGGGGTGTATGTTGCGTATTCATTGAAAAATCGCTTTGCTTTTTTTATTTCCCTCTTTGGCCTGTCCGCCATTTTGAAAATTCGCGACGGAGAGCATACGTATTACGTGGGGTTAGTGGTCGCGTATAACTGGAACCGAGAAAAACAAATGTTCGTCGCGCTGGGGAAAGAGTTTGATATGCTTCTGATATGCGACTATTGATTATTGCTCCTCGTATACCTGATTGCTCAAACACTTTGTTTACGATTGTTGAAAGGACCGACTCATGGTTCTCCGTCTTCGTCTTTGCATTGCTTTGAAGTAGTATAGATAAGTAAGCTGAAACGAAAAATTAATCAGAGAAGTTTACGAAAAATCCAGCAAACAAGCTTAAAAAAGGCATTTATTTAGACTTTATACTTCAACGAACTTCCCAAATCTTACTTGTTTATCTTGTAAGTAAACGATGGCAGATTAATTCCCGAAGCGCTTTCTGAGTTTCCCAAACCCTCTCCTACTGCTTTCACGATTACAAAACAGGAAAAAATCAAAAGGAGGAAGATACAGCTGTTTTGAAACGCCATTTGACGAGGGTAAATCTGCTTTTTGTTCGATACTTTACATATCGAAAAAAAGGAAATTTGTTCCTCTTCTTGATTCTGGCGGTACATTTTAAATTTGCGCCTGCGTAAAAGAGATATCGCCCGAGACCCTTCGCTCGGTCGTGTTTTGATCAAAAACGCCTTGTTAATTTCACGCAACCGCTCGGAGAAAAGGTAAAAATGACGAGGGAAAAACTTTACCTTCAAGTTAGAAAATTACTGAAATAGAAAGCCACAATATTACGGTTTAATATTTCAGAGGTACACTGAGTGCTTTTTCCGTAGAGAACCCGCACGATGGTAAAACATTCGAAAATTACACTCGATTTGAGTGGGGCGTTGAAGTGGGCGTGGTCACTACATTCATGTTAAGACTATTTGTACCCCATGAGTTTGATATGCCTCAGTTGAAAATAAAGAAAGAGAAATGGAACTCACAGGAGGACAGCAAATCATTGAGCAATTGCATAAAAAAATTCGGGTTCCGTCGGAAAACGCGCCTGTGTCTCCTTACGCTATTTGAGCGCTACTACCAACTGAGAATCGATGCCGCTCGTTTGTAACGAGGCAAATTTTAGATTATTTTTTCCTAGATAACTTTAATAACAACTTGTGATGAAAGAAACCTGAAAAAATTCAGACTCCGACGGAATTCGAACCTGTGCCTTGCACATACTATCGATATCATTGATTTGCTTGAGAGTTTCCGACCATTTTTTCCCCACGGTTACTTTTCTCTTTCAAGAAACTCATATTATTTATTTACGGGAAATTCACGGATGCTAATGACCTAACATTAGCAAAACAGCAGACCTCTTTCCACCTAAACGAAATGAGAAAATCATTGAAGTCCCCATTTTTTTTTTTTTTAGCGTTAGAAAGCAACTGAGTAGCTAACGTTCAATATGATTAAAGGAAGGTCTCAATGGAGTTAAAATCTAAATGTTAACTGTCGAATGAAATAGGAAAAACTTAATCGTCAACCATCCAAGCTACCATCAATTGCGACTTTCTTTTCAGAAAATGTTGGCCATCTCCACGGGAGTTCATCTCTCTTGTACCATATTTTTTTAGCTAGAATCAAATCGCTAAACGTGAACTCGCGTTCTGATTAGGTATTGAAGAGAGGGCATTTAGCGTAGAATTGCACTCGTGCATGAAGGAATATTGGTGACGTGGGTCGCGAGCAAAAATTGTTGCTATCGTGAAAAAAAAAATGCAACTCATGTTACGAAAAATATCTCCTTGGAAATGAACAAATTTGCAGAAAACGGATGTCTGCCAAATTTTGAATTGAAATTTAAATCGTTGGGAAATTTGAGTAAACCCCCCACACGCAAAATTACGAGAAAGCGCATTGTGGAAAAAACAAAATGGCAAAGACGAGGGAAGAAAGCCAAACGACAGATCTTGCCGAGGAAAACAAAACAAGCATCGCAAAAGAAAACAAACAGGTATCAATGCCGAAAAAAGCCAAAACATCCATTCCGGAAAACCAAACCATTGTAACCTATACAGGTTACGAACTGGTCTCTTTAAAGGACAATAGAGGTTTAAAAAAACACTAAAAACGTACAAGTACATCCGTACGCCGTTTGCAGTCTTGGTTCAAGGAAAAACACGGCAAACAAATTAATCTCGATGCAATTTCAAAACAAGAAGTACCGCAGCTTCTCAAACACTTATTTCTAGAAATAGGGCAGACGGCAAAAGAAAACAAAGGCAAAGAATATGAACCAGGAACATTACAAACTTGCCGCAATGGTTTACGATGGTACTTTCTGGAGCGTCCATGTCCACCGGCAGTAGGCAACTTCGACCTCGAAAACTTCTCAGCCACTGAGTTCGAAGAAGTTTCAACAATACTATCCATGAAGAAAAAAGATTTGAAGCAAAGAGGTCTTGGCAACAAACCAAATGCCGCTCAACCAGTTGAAACAGAAGATACTGGAAATATGTGGTCGCTGGGTGCAATCGGCCTTCAAAATCCTCGCTCCCTTCTCCGTCTAATATTGTGGAACAATGTCACGCACTTAGGATTTAAAAACAGCATGACTGTCATCTAAGTGATTTCACCGTGACAGAGCAGTATATCGAGGATAAAGAGCGACAAACCAAGAACCGCCATGGAGACGACCCGACTGCGACAAAACGAGTGAGAAATTATAACAACAAGATTTGGAGGACCGCTGGTGGAGAGCGAGATCCGCACAGAGCATTTATCGAGTACGTTGGCCATCGTCCGAAGGGTGGTAACGTTCCTGGAAACTTCTACCCAAGTCCAGCTGACAGCCCAAAATTCAATATCTGGTACAAGGTGGTTCCAATTGGTAGAAATACATTGGGAAAGCAAATGCAGAGTATAGCGTCTATTGCCCCCCTTGACTGCAAATTCACAAATTCGAGTGGTCGCAAAACAATCATCCAAGTGCTCCGTGATGATTTCGACCTACTGGAGATCTCATATCTCAGAGCTGCCTGGCCTGAATCGGAATCCATATCCAGCTACAGCCTCAATCTTCTGGAAAAACAGCGGCTTATATCGAATAAGTTGGCCGGTTTCAACCCAAGCACGACAACTATCAACAGCGATTCAAGTCATGCTTTACGGGAGATTGTCCTCAAGTGCTCAGCCCCACCAAGCAACACAGCACATACGAGTAACCGTGACGGCAGTGCCAGTCGTTCTATTTACCTGATGGAAGGAGCAGTTGGCGGAATGTTTACTGGAGTAACTTTTAATAATTCTCCAGTAAATATTTCCATAAACTTTCAGTCCAACATAACATGAATAAGCGACTCTCTGAAAGAAAAACAGTTAAACTGGTGACTTTTGAGCTTTCTTGAGCTATTTTTCGTACGAGTTTAATGAGAAATTCTAGTCTTAATCATTATAATTTGAATACAATTTTTTATAACCGTAAAGCACTTACCGCTTTTTTGTAGATCTTGTTTAAATACCGGAACGCTTGAAATTTTTCTTTCGCTTGACCATTTCAGTCGTTGTCTGTAGGCGCTATATCTTGCCAACTTGTATGGTAGCAGGAAAATCCAATATATTCATTGAATGAAATAATTTATCTATAAGATTTTTGTCTTAAATAACTCTTTACTTTGTACTTTCAGTCTTTTGCTGAAGATTGTAAAATGTGAGGCGTTGCTTTCTCCACGATGTTCAAGAGGTTGAAATAAAAGTGGTTTTCTTTCTAAAAATATCTTGTTTCCCATTCGCTAGATCTTGGCACACTGGCGCGGCTTGGTTAAATATAAATTTCGATTTTAGTCCGGTCTGTTCCTGCCAAATAAGCCTCGCTTTGAGGCTGTGCCCAAATAGGCAGATCCACAGATTGCCAAATTCACTTAAGTCCGGGATACCAAAGTGATTGGCGACATTATCCAGAGTGTGAGTAAAGGGATTCCAGCTTTGAGAAACTCCTCTACCACCTGTAAACGGTATGCTCTCTCCTCAACTGGCAGCGTGTAGTCTTTGCTCTGTGTATTGTCTTGTCTAAGTCGTGCTTTCAGGAGGCAACATGATTTTGAAGTATGCTTTTTTAGAGCTTAGAAGCTCCTTGCAAGCATCACAAAACAGTTTACCGTTTCGGAGACACAAACTTTCCCCTGGAAATTGTTTGATTCGGTCGTTAAGACTAATGTTTTTTGGATCTGATGAACCTCTTTCGCTATATTTTCCTTTAGTCGGTTTCAATACACGCTCCTGAGAGACCGAGGCTCTTTGTATGACATTGCCTGAAGAACTAGAAGTGTTCGAGGATCCGTTCGACGAGGAGGACACCATCTTTTATCTTGGATCTCAGTCAACTCGCTAGCGAGTCGTACAAGTAGGGCCTGAAACCAAGAAACGTTACAACGATCGCAGTGAATCCACCGTAGGCGCAATTCATTATTAGAAACAAACATTCTAGAAACATAATTCAATCAAGAGAAGTATATTCAATACGAAATTACGAAAATTGTTCACATCGTGGAATTAAAAAAGTAGATTATACCAGCAGTGCTTTTCTTTGAAAAAAGTTTAAAATTATGCTCGTTTTCAGTTGCCATATTATGCTCAAAATTATGCTGGCACAATCGACTCAAGCATACTCCAGACCAGTCTCCATCCTCTGTTACATGAGAGATTTTGGACGTGGAGATGGAGGATGGACTATAGAGATAAAATTTGTACACTGATACACTTAAGCAAAAGGAGGTATTATGATACGTTTTTCGAAAATAATACGTCAACATGAAAAAAATCTGTCAAGGAATCAGTAAACTTTTACATCGATAAAAGCGTGTTGGGTGGAATCGTGGTTCCAATAGCAAATGTAGGGTGCCAAAAGAAATGTCCGGCCATGGTAATGGTGGGTTAAGGCTATTCCAAAAGCCGATAGGGGAATCGGCAAGCGTGTATCGCAGATAGTACTCAAGATGTCTGGAAAATTCGTACAATCTGGCTTCGGTAAGTAGGCTACTTACCACCGTGAGCAAAATTACGCGTGACGTCAGAGTTAAGTTTCGATTGGGAATTGGTCAATAGGCTACCAAAAATTCAGATAGAGGCGGAGTTTTCTGAACTAATGCCGGAACACTTTGTTGGCTTTCCGCCGTCTGGGGGGACGCGTAATTATGCACACTACGGTAAAGGGCCCTTCCGCACTAGCAACTAGACGCTGACAAAACATGTTTCTCTTCGCCAAAATCACATCAGAATTTGTCCTTGCTAAATGTCAAGTGTACTGCACGTCTTAGCACCACCGGGGGACCCTTTACATAAAACATATAAAAGGTGCTTAAGTCTTCTCCGTGTGGTAATGGCAACAATTAGCCTGTTAAAACAAGTGTTTATGTCCTTTTCTGTCTTTTTCAATGCTTCCCTCGCTCCTACAGAGGATTCATACAAATATGAGAGCCATACCGCGTTTACATTGAACAGGTAGAAAAGGTCGTCCTTTGTGAGTGAGAGTGAGTGTTTCGTTCTGTAATGAAAACCCCAATAAACTCACTCAGAAATGACTCATTTTGAATAAATTTTACGCTGGTTATTATGTGGCAACCGTTATGAACTCGTTCTTGTATAAAACTCAGTCGGATATCATGTAAAAGTCCCCCTAAAAGTTTTTATTCCCAGAGCATCACGCTTTGCTCGCCTGTCTGAATACTAAAAATTTCGGTAGCGTTGAAGCAACAACCCGCTTTAAACTGCTTCGCTGCCGCTGAAACAACGATTAGTGAAGAAAGCACATATTTTAATATTTTAAATTCAACGTAAACAAAAATCTTTATACATGGTAAATATTAACTTGTGTCGGTATCAATTATTGCGTGACTAGCTTATGATATAAATGAAGGAGGGGAAAACACAACGCAAAACCTGAGCTCCTGTCAAAAAGTAATACCCAGGCGTAATATAACAATCGAAACGGCTAATAAGGTCATAAATAAATAAGGTAAGAGTGTCATGTCAGACTTTTTTACAAATTGTAGTGATTTATGCCAATTAACGAAGCGAGCGCGGCAAGCCCTGTATTACAACAAGGGGGCACGTGACTTTTCACCCTTAGAGGAAGGTGCTGTGGTCAGAATGAGACCATTCCGACTCGGACAACGGGTATGGGAACAGGCAACAGTGACAAAAAGACATGATGAACGGTCCTATAAAGTCGAGATGGAGAAGGGAACCTACCGAAGGAACAAGGCGGACCTTCAAGAACAGCCCACCCCACAGAGATCCCTACAACAAACACCATCGGTCAAACAAACTCCCGAGCAAACACCCTCAGACACTCCGCTCAAGGACCAGGGAACAATCCAAGCTGAAGCCAACAGCACACCTGAGACAGCTGGACCCAAGCAGCAAACAACACCTGTTTCTGTACCACAGCACCCAAACAGGACCATCAGAGAACCGGCATACCTCAGGGACTACGTGCGCTAGGAACTCTGAACATTTGTTAGAATACGGATTAGACTTGTAATTACCAAACATTGATTTTTTTATTCTGAATTTTTTTTTAAGTGTTTTTTTTATTTGCTGTTATCCCAAAGGAAGGGGGATGTTACGTGACTAATGCCTGCTAGTGTTAGTATGCTAATGTATGCTTTATGAATCACGTGATCTTGTGTACACCCTATTCGATTTGAGTGAATAAAAGAGTATGGAACGAAACATATTCCTATTATTATTATTGGCAAGTGTAACAGTAAGGATCACAATCCGTTAACTTTTCCAACAGTGATTCCAAAGCGAGTGGTGCTCTCTAGATACGAGCGGAAAGTAGCGTTAACCTTCCATCCTTACCCTGTCTCTTGTAAGACTTCGGTAGTATAGCGGTGAGTATCCTCTCTTGTCACGCGGGAGACCGGGTTTCCTTTCCGATAGAGCTCTTCTAATCGAAAAGTCGGTTCTTAATCTTAATAAAATCTGAGACATTTATATCTCTTTCCAGAGCAAGAGCAAATCCTAATTATGCAGATTCCACCGCTGGCCAGAAGATTAGGTGGCTACAGTTTTGTACGGTGCAGAGCTTTATCTGCTGTACTTTTAAATCAAATGTCACCTTGGGAAAAACATAACCCGAGTTTCTTCAAGTGACTGGCCAAAACACACAGGAAGATGCTGCAGGACGATAGAAATATGGGAATGAAAAAGTAACTCCTTACTTCTCGGGTGCCCCTCCGCTTACCAACAAACATAAATGGACACGAAATTTTGCGGGCAAATTTCCCTGATTGGGTACATTAAGCTATAGTGACAATGTTAAGCCGCAGAAAGAATCAAATTATGTGCATACGTTTTGGTAGTGGTCATGGAAATTATATGATTTCTGCTCAATTCATTTCTCAAGCATATTTTCCTTAAAAAAAAATTTTGACCAAGATTGAGCATTTGTAATTATATGCCACAATAAATTATCTGTCCGTAAGTTCCAAAGTGTTCATACTTAACTTTTAAAAGATTTCGGGTTGATTATAGCGACGACGTTGGTCACTTCATAACCAATTTTACAAGGCTAGCATACTTATCAGTTGGGATGACAATGAATTAACATTTCGTCTTTCCATGTATCTTCTGTCAAGTTTGATGTCAACGTATGGTTTAAAGCTTCAACAATTCGGTTATCGTTGATTTTGACAGGTTATGAACGTATA